GGTGATGCAGTAGCTGATGGGAATGATCCAGAAGGCAGGGCACAGTCATGATGCAGGGGGGAGAGAAAAATGAGCTGTCTCGGTCATGCCCACCATGACCCTATGCAGTATGTACTACTTTATAGATAAGGAAACTGAGGCAAAGAACAGTTTCAGTCATTTGCCCAAGGTCACAAGGCTAGTAAATAGCAGGGTCAGGAGCTGAACGCTGATGGCTGAGTCCCAGATGCCCAGGCTGAGCCACTGTGCTGTTCTGCCCCTTGGTTTCCTAGCTGGAGCTGGGAGCTCTTCTGGGGTGAGGCCTCCTCTCCTGCTTTTATATCCAACACAGGGCCTGGGGGTGGGGGCTGTGCCGAGGTGGGACTTGGTTGACCTTTAATGACCCAGTGCCAGAAGTGCTCATCCATTGCCTGCCCCCCCTCCCCGGGAGGGAAGCGTGGCCTCAGCCTGCTGCACCCTGAGTCCTGCCTGCCACGCCATGGGGCCTTGCGTGGGGAGGGTGGTGCTCAAGAGATATTGGAAAACATTTGTAGGTAGATGAAGAATGAATGAGAAGGCTACAGCTCGTCCTAAACCCTAAGCTGATGGCTGTCCCTGGCAAGCCGTGGTGCTGGGTGTGATCAGGGCTCTTGCTATGGCTTGCTGCCATTGCACTGGGTGACCTGCTCAGACCCCCCTGCCCACTCAGTGCCTCAGTTTCCTTATCTGTAAAATAAAGAGGTTGGGTTAGCTGGCTCCTGGCAGAATGGCTCAGGAGGGCACATGTGTGCTATTTGCACCCTGGTCACTGAGGGACCCCATAATGAACCCCATCCTAAACACCAGTGTGTTGCCATGGGGTGCTCAGGGGCCCTGGGGCCAGTCTTGGTTCAGCTTCCCTTAGGTGACTTTGAGCCGGTCACTCTATCTCCCTCATTTGTACACAGGGCCTTGCACACCCAGTTGCTTACCTTTTAGGCTTGTGATAGTTTTTTTTTTCCCCTTAAAACTCTCATGACAGATTAAGGTTTGTGATAAATTTTATTTATTTATTAATTTTTAGAGATGGGGTCTTGCTCTGTCACCCAGGCTGGAGTGCAGTGACACAATCATAGCTCACTGTAACAAACTCCTGGGCTTAAGTGATCCTCCCTGCTCAGCCTCCTGCGTAGCTGGGACCACAGGTGCACGCCATAACACCAGGCTAATAGTTTTTCATTTTTGGAGAGGCAGGGGTCTCAATAAGTTGCCCAGGCTGGTCTCCAACTCCTGGCTTCAAGTGATCCTCCTACTTCAGCCTCCCATAGTGCTAGGATTGCAGGCTGTGTCCAGATGGTAACAAGTTTTATTAAGACCTTGGATTAACGGTTGTCACGGTAATAGTTCAGCATACGTACAGCCCACCCCATACCAGGTGCTGTCCTAAGTGCTTTATGAACCTGTGTATTAACTCATTCAGTCCTCACCAAAACCTACTTTAGGACTTAAGTCCTCTTAAGTGATCACCGTTTCACAGATGGGGAAACTGAGGCAAAGAGCAGGCACAGAAAGCACACTGAGTGCTGGGAGATGTCTCCCAGCGAGCGGGCGGCCGTGTCCTCTCACAGGGGGCTGTGGCCTCTGACCCGCTCTCTCCTTCCTCCTGCAGGGACAGGGGCAGACCCGGTGGTCAGCACCAGGAGCAACCACTGCCTGGATGCTGCCAAGGCCTGCAACCTGAATGACAACTGCAAGAAGCTGCGCTCCTCCTACATCTCTATCTGCAACCGCGAGATCTCGCCCACCGAGCGCTGTAACCGCCGCAAGTGCCACAAGGCCCTGCGCCAGTTCTTCGACCGGGTGCCCAGCGAGTACACCTACCGCATGCTCTTCTGCTCCTGCCAAGACCAGGCGTGTGCCGAGCGCCGCCGGCAAACCATCCTGCCCAGATGCTCCTACGAGGACAAGGAGAAGCCCAACTGCCTGGAGCTCCGCAGCGTGTGCCGGACTGACCACCTGTGCCGGTAAGAGTGATGCTGCTGCAGCTCCGGGGCTGCCCGCAGGAGGGGGCTCGCAAGGCCGGGCTGGTGTCCCCCTTTGCCACATTCCCTGGGGGCCGTTGGCTTAGGACCCTGAACCCAGCAGAAAGGGTGCCAGAAGGGTTGAAACTGACCTGGACATGTGCAAAATGAATCGTCACCCATTCGTTTCATTGATTCATCAATTCATCCATCTATCCACTTATTCATTCATTCATTCATTCAGCACAGGTTTATCATTTGCTGATAAATGTGCCCAGCCTCTTGCTGTAGGGAAACCAAGACGAACAACCCCGAGGAGTTTATACTTTAAAATCATAGACTCCTAGAGCCTGGGAATCCCAGCAGAGGACATGTGACTCTCAGGGAAGGTGCTCTTGTCAATCACAGAGTCAGCGCATTCTGAACCGAGACCTGAACCGGTGCAGTGTTGAGCGAGGAATGGGTTCTGGAGTCTGACAGTCCTGGGTTTTAGGTTTTAAAAATTTTCCCAAGCCTCTATCCCTTCGCCGGTAAAACAGGAACAGAAGTACTCACAGCACAGGGTTATTGTGAGTGTTAGATTACATGACATGTGTCTGAAGTTCAGCCCAGAGCTCGGAATATAGGGAATGCTTAATAAGTGTAGACTCATTATTAGGAAGGAGGTTTTTAAATTGTTTGGTTATGGTGAGTTGAAATTTGGCTCTTAGTAATTTTAATGTTTTTGTTTGCTAAGTATTTGTTGAGCTCTTCTCGTGTGCAGCGCTTTGTCCTGAGGTCTGGGCTCACAGAGATGAGCACAGTGCTTTCCAGGGAGCACCCAGGCCAGCAGGGACACAGACCAGGGGAGAGTGACCCGGCCCAGTGGGACGAGGCTGTGGGCTTCTGCAAGAGGGAGCACGGGGAGGGCATCTGCTGCAGACTGGGGTTCAGGGGAGGGGGCTTAAAAGCTGAGCCTTAAAAAACCAGAGAGAGAAAGCCAGGGAATGTGTCAGCCAGAAAAGCATGGCACAAGCTGGAGGGGGCAGAGAGCTGGGGTGATGGGAACTGCAGGTGGGGGATGCACATGGAGGGGGCTACAATGGGGGGGCGGGGAGGGGAGGAGAGCCAGAGGGGAGGCTGCCAGGAAACGGGGATTGCAACAGGTGCAGATGTGTATAGGTTGGCCGCCACGTTCTGGAAACTTGTTCTAGAGGCTTCATGTCTCATTTAATTCTTGCACCAGTGCTATGAGGGGGTACTGTTATCTTTATCTGCCAATGAGGAAATGTCTGGCGAGGTACATAAGAAGGAACTGCCTAAGGTCACACAGCCCTACATTTCAGAGCTGGGATTCAGGCTACATGGCTTTCCTTCCAGTGTGGCCCTGGAGTAAGATACTGGCTGTGGGGATGGAGAAAAGTGGGTTGTTTCAGCGAAGATTGGGAAGTAGACTGCACAGCAGTGGGTGACTGGCTGAATGTCCCCTGGAGGCAAGAACCCTTTCTGTTTGTTTACTGCACACCCGTCCTGCACACACAGCCAGGCAGGGGGTGAACATCACTTGAATGGGTAAATGGATGGTGACCGCCATGTGTCCTAGTTGAGTGACTCTGGGACGATGGAGCCATTCAGTGGGGCTAGTGTTGGACATACAGCAACTGAGATGCCTGGGGGACCATTGCCACCCCCATGGGAACATCTGGGAGGCACTTGGACTTGTGGGGGTGGAGATGAGTACTGAGGCTGGAGAGGAGAGACGGGCTTGGGAGTCATTGGGCACCTCGTTGGCAATTAAAGCAACAGCAGTGCGTGAGATGGTGTAGGAAGGGGTGGTGGAGCCCACGAGGGAATTTAGGGTGGAGACACCTGCAGAGTTGGGCATCCACAGTGTGTGGGTGATGGGTGAAGCCACTGGAGGGCCAGGGAGGGCGGCACTCTCCTGGAAACACCAGTACTTACGGGAGGGGCAAAGGAAGTGGAGTGTGAGGCAGGGCGGTCAGGGAGGGGGGAGGACAGGTGGGGATAGTGGGCCCAGAGGGAGGGGAACCAAGTGGTTGGTGCCTCACTGAGTGTGTGTGCTTGTGCCTGTGCGTGTGCGCATGTGCATGCGTGTGCGTGTGTGGATGGTGGAAGCCAGATTGCAGTGCGTCCAGTGTGGCCCGGAGGCGGATGTCAAGGCATTGGGTATAAACCACCTTCTTCAGAAGAGATGAGGCCAGGGCCTGGGACTGCAGAGCAACCTGGGGTGGGAGGGCTTCTTTTTAATGCGGGAGAGCCAGGCTGCATGTGCACTGAGGGGGAAGTGCCACTTTGGTTTGGAAAACAAGCTCTGCTGCAGTTCAGACAAGGGACTGATCCCAGAGCTAGCTGCAGGGCTCAGGGAAAGCTCTGTGAAGAAGGTGGGCTTTTCTCTTCTGCTTACTTAAAAAAAATACGCCTTATCGCCTTAAAACTCAGCACACAACCACAGGAGCACGAAACTCAGCAGGAAAAAGGAGAGCCTTAGAAAGATGTTGGGAGCAAACGCGGGGACCCTGCCGTGTGGCACGTTGCTGAGCCTGAACCCTGAGCTTCCTGGTGGCTGGACGAAGGGGGGAGGCTTGAGGGGCCACACACATCCTTGTGCATGGTAGAAGGAGCACGGAGCACACTGGTTCTTGACCTAAGGCACTGTCTCTGCTTGTCCGAGTGCTACAACGACCTTGGGTGCTGCGTCATGCGTAGCTGCGTGAGTGACAGAGCACAGCACAGAGGAGGAACTGGGCCCTAAAAGGATCAGAAAGGACCAGCATGGGTCCAAGCTCAGGTCCCCAAGCACGAGGGTGGGCACAGCACCCAGAAGGCTGGATGGCTGCAGGGGCTGGCGGCAGGCCCTAGGAGTCAGGCTGCTCAGATGTTTGAACAAGGCGTCTTGGGCAGAGGAGACAGGGACACCAGCACCTGTTATTAGTATTGTTTTGAGGAAGGGGAGATAACGTAGTGCATGGCTCCTAACGGGTGGGTCTGTGGCCCTGCGTGAGATGGGAGAGTTTGGAGCAGGGGGAATTTGGTGGCTTGGAGATGTCTGCGCCTATTTAAAGAGCCAGAAGCGTTTTTTGTTTGTTTGTTTTTCTTTTTTTGCTTGTCGTTTGTTTTTCTAGAAGTGGGGGAAGCCAGGAACAGAGGAATTGGGTGATAAACTTTACCTTGTGAATCCAGAAAGGGTGTTTAAACAAGGCCGAGAAGGTCGAGACTGAGGAGTCCCAGCAGCCGAGAGGGGCTGAGCCTGGCAGATCAGCTGCATGCCCTGGAAGAGAGATTTAAATGGTTGCAGCCCCAGGGCCCAGGGACAGTGCAGTGTCTGGATTATTGACCTGGGTACCTGGCTGACTTTGGGAGGCCTGGGGCCATGAGGAGGAAGTTACGGTGGTTGCTCCAGGATGTGGCTAGGTGAGTTCCTGACCTTGAACCAGGGTGTTCTTGTAGCCCATCTCTCCCCAGCTCCTGCCCCACCCAACACACCCATCCATGTGCAAATTTAAATATGGTCCCAAGGGGAAGGGGAGAAATGAGGGTGCAACCTGCATTTAGGGTGAGTCTGGCAGGAGCCTTGGGGGATATTACAGCATGGCAAGGTGTCCTTTAGGGAACTTTTCCCAGGGCTCAGAGTTGAGGCTTGAGGTGGGTGCGTTGACACATGCTCTGGGGAGCAACAGAGGCTGCTATGCACAGAGATGACAGGTGGTGGATGGAGGCGGTTGCCAAGGTGCCCCAGCGTCAGCAGACCTGCCTGGTCTCCTCATTCTGCCTGGGGTCTCCTGAGTGGTCCCACCTGGGCCATTTTACTCCTAGTGCCACCGGTTTCTCCATCGATCCAATAAGGCTGCTCCACCAGGTCATCTGCAGGGACCTCCCAGTTCTACCAGGTCTATGGCTCTGATTCTCTCAAAGTAGTTTTCCAGTCTGCCTTCTCCCTTTGCTCCTGCCCTCCCCACTTGAGGTTATATTCCTGGAGAGCTGAGCTCTTGGTGTAAGAGGAAATGACCAGAGAAGCTTCACCAGGGTAGGTGGTGTGGGAGGGTGGATTTGAAGGGCGCTTTTCGCCAGCTCTTCCCAGGGGCACGCCCGGAAGGAGACCCACGTCTCCATGCACGTACCCAGGCTGCCTGTGGGTGCCCAACCTCAGCACCAGGAGGTAACGGATGGCTCAAGAGGGGTGTCCGGGAGCCTGGGCTTGGTTGGCCACTGTGCATAGGCAGGGGTGCTCTTCCTTTCTTTCCTGGGTTGGGTTTCCTTTCTCCAGGCTCAGGTGGAAATCATTACCGAGAAAATGGGAGACCCCAATAGCATGGTGTTTGGAATAGGGACTGAAGACCTGGGAGCCACCTCCCTTTCCTGGATACTTTAATGAACACAGCCGGCCTTGATGGGGGCTCATGGGGAAGCCTCTCTGGGCTTTGGACTCTTGGGAAATGAGGCTTTCATCCCTGAGCACATCACAGGAACCTGCCCCATGCTGCAGTGCTTTGGTGCCCGGTGCTGGATTATCCTGGCCTGCCTGGCCCCCATGGTCCCTGCTCTTGCTCAGGGAGTTGGCCCTGTCATGGCCTGGCCTCTCGCCAAGCGAATCTCCGCCCAGGATTCTTGGGGTGGGGGGCAGCTCTGCCAGAGCCGACCTAACTGGGCACTACATTAAAGCAAGTGCATTGATTTGCAGTGAGGCACACCTAGTGGCAGGCCTCGTACATCACCCGTGTGATATTTAACAGTCTCCGCTGTGCTGTCTTATTAAATGTCACTAACGATAAAGTGTTGGCAGTTTTCCTTGATGTGGGGCTCGAAGAAGCCTTGGTTAAACAAGGATATCTGCTTGCCAGCCCTTGGGGTTAGTGGAAGCACTTCAGAACTTTCCATCACTCTTTGGACCAGGAGCAGTTTGGGGACCGTGAGCGAGGGAGGATGCACCTCTGGGAGTGGAAGCTTCTGGCTCTCCACGCAGTTCCAACCAGCATTGAAGTCATCGTAGGAGTCCAGGCTCTGTC